GTGGAGACTCTTCAAAAAAGCAAAACCCAGTTCCTGAAAGGAACGAGTTGTCCCATACCAAATGTCATAAACCTGATTTCACAAGAAAAAAGGGGCACGACAATAAAGACATAACATAGAGATCTCTTCATTCATATATTCAGGTACCTGGACCTCTCTTGAGATTTTATGAAGTGTTATGTCATGTGATCTTCTAGATAACTTGCCTCCTTATTATGATCATTTGCTCATCTTCTTTATCAAGAAGTTTATTTGAAACTTATTTGTCTATACGCCTTAAGCGTACCACAGACTTTGTCCTTCCAAGATATATTCTTGTAGGAGCATTTTCAGTGAGAATATAGCTACTTTCTTTGGGCCAACAAATGCGTCCGACATGCTTTGCAATAAATTGCACATGAATTATCTTTTTATGAACTTCAAGTTCATATTATCTTATTCGAGGATCAAGATGTACACATGATAATTCATTCCACGTAACTTTTTCTCAACTGTTTATCATATCTCTCCCGCATGTTAGAAAAACTAACTTGTTTTCTCAACTTTGAGAACTCATCTTTGTGCGTTATGGTGTTAATCAATATACACCGCACATCAATAATAATAAGATGGAATTTCCTGACCTTGAACCATTTGTGAGGGGAGAATGTAATATACTTTCGTATATAACCTATATCAAACTAACTGATATAGATAACTTTGTTCTCATAAGTAATAGTTTAGTTATTAAGTGGAGGCGCTCAATAAATTATTTTGCTAAACCAGCTGTGATGTAAACCAACTTATCAAGATGAACTTCTTGATTAGAAAATCTGGAAATTATGCTCGAAATTAAACTATTGAGCAAGTTACCTCGCAAAATACTGGGTTAATAATAATTGCACATGTAACCATCTCATAGATGTGTCTTATGTGGTATACATGACAGATGAATGAGCCCATATTCACCTTTAATATTTCCAACATTCATGGGATTCAATCCCAATTTTAGTTGGTCTATTAATTAATAAGAACAAGCAATGTAAGAGAATTCTTAAAGAACTTTCTAGTTCTTTAATATTTACCCATGTGAATTCTCTATTATTTTTGCACATCATACGTAAATTGATATGGTTAACCCAAATGCCAACTGAATAAATTATCAATATTGATAAACTTCAAATTTACACCATGACGTGTGCAATTATCAATAAACTCCAAGTTTATTATGATATAGGTTTTTATATCAATAAACATTTACTTTATTATGGAATTCTTTTGTTTGTGTAGTACAAACTGAAGAATAAAGCGGGTAACTTTTCACATACATATTACCCGCTACAAGGTGTAGTAATAGAAGATATTAAACCTTTCCTTTATTTATAGTCTCAGTATGACCAACCGCTTTCGTGAATACTTTATAAATTAAATAAGTTTCTTTGAGACTTACTACAACACAATATCTTATTGATAATCAATTTTATTTCTCCAAAATAGTGGTAATTGGCTCTTCCGGAGCTCTCAATTAATTTTGTACTACCACATATTCATCAACATCCATATGGTCATATATCTCTTTCAAGGAGAAAGTTATACCATTATGGTCATAGTCAAAATTATATGTGCAAGATATGTTTCTTGCATTATTATTGTCCTTTAATAATCACATTGCCAAAATATTTTGGCGTACAATAGGTACGTGACCAATGACCATTTATGCCATAATAATGACATTATTTTCTTATATCATCTCCAACCTCCTTCTAGAGGTGAGTGTGGTATATTCGCTACCACTAGCACATTCATATTCTTTGAAGAATGAATATGTATTCATAAATCAGATGTTGTCACATTCACATCATGAATGGATCATAATCATGCTTTATAAAATCTCATGTCATATCAATGACAAATATTACTTTCACAAAGTGAAAGATTATTTTGAGAATCCTTATTATTCTCATTATCACAATGATGACGATTATAATTTCGTCTATTGCCACGTCCACATCCATTGATACCTTCACGGTAATAATTTTGTCTTCTTTCAGACTTATCACATTCTCTTAAGGGAATGAGAATGGAGCAAATACAATGGGACAGATTTTCAATTCTTTGCCCCCGATCATACATGAATTTGATCATGGCAATGCATAGAAATTTTACCACTTTGGGTGGTTATAATTTCTTTCAAACTCTATTAGAGTTATAATCAAAGTTTATTGTCTTTGCTTGTATTTAAAATCAAATTATAGAATAAAAGAGAAAATACGATAAAACACTTACCTTAAATCCAGAATTTAATCATGAAGGAAGTTCATGGAACAATTGACAATCATTATGCTCAATCCCAAAGCTTCTACTCAATTGATTAGAGTCTCGTGTTGATAACGTGTTATGAAACAATAAAAGAAAAAGAAAAACATTGCAAAGAAAGGTAGAGAGAGAGGATTCTTATTGATTTGGAGTGAATTACAATGGAATAGGACCCATTAATTTATAGGGAAAGAGTGACTTAGCCACCAAGTAAAATCCCTAAGATCTCTCTAAAATATGTAAAAATTGCACGAGGCGCCCTATTTGGTCGCCCCCATTTAACCTATGCCCATTTTTTAAAATTTTTTTAACTTGTACCCACTTTTTAAATAACTTTAGCCCCTTTCTCCTCTTCCTACTTCTCCTTCTTTTTCAAGTAAAGGAAATGGAAAGTCACAACTGCTTCAATGCGATAAAATCACTTAGTTTCTTTTATCCAATTAATCAAACGAAATTGTGGTTTCTTTCATAGAAATACAGGCTATGTATATGAGTGCATTGGCCATTATTTCAGCAGTTTTTCTTGTCGGCTTTTCAGAAATGAGTACCTCAAGTAAGGTTGTGTGGTCTGTAGCAATCATTTCATAAAAACACTTTGTAGTTGTGTAGGCGCAATAGTATGCGTTCCATTTCATCGCTTTATAAACAGACTATTAGCATGTTTGACCAAAAGTGCTTTTTTGCCAAAAAACACTTTTGGCCAAAAATTGACGTGTTTGGCCAAGCTTTTGGAAGGAAAAAAGTGTTTTTGAGGAGAAGTAGAAGCAGTTTGGAGAAGTAGAAAAAAGTAGCTTATCTCCAAAAGCACTTTTTTGAGAAGCACTTTTGAGAAAAATACACTTATAAGCCGTTTTTAAAGCTTGGTCAAACACTAATTGCTGCTCAGAAGTGATTTTCAAACTAATTAGCCAAACACAAATTGTTTCTCATCAAAAGTACTTTTGAGAAAAACACTTTTGAAAAAAAGCACTTCTCAAAATAAGCTGATTTTTGCAGCTTGGCCAAACAGGCTATATGTTTGATTTAAAAGTAAAAAAATCAATACGACAGTTTGTACCGTTTGAAATCCATAGATTAACGGGGTTCTTTAGCAGTAAGTTATTTTCTATCTCTGAGTTTTGCTTTCACAAACAAAATACAGATGACCAAGATCCCAAACAAACATAAATAGTGCTGAAGTTTTTACAAATGAACTAAATAACTTCGACAGTTACAAAACAAAAATTCGCCAGTTACAAAAATAAAAACTTCAGCTCTAGAGCTGAAGTTCGCGAGTTACAAAATAAAAACTTCAGCTCTAGAGCTGAAGTTCACCAGTTACAAAAACAAAAACGTTAGCTATAGAGTTGAAGTTCGCCAGTTACAAAAACAAAAACGTTAGCTCTAGAGCTGAAGTTCGCCAGTTACAAAACAAAAACTTTAGCACACTTGCTACTTCAGGCCCGTCTACTAGAATGCTGAAGTTTTGCGTGATTGTCTTTGCTACTTCAGCCCCGTATGCTGAAGTTATGCAAAAAAAATGGGTATGCTTGTAATTTTTTTTGCAAAACGGGCACAAGTTAAAACGTGACACAAAAGCGGGTATAAATGCAAATGCCTCCTAAAATATAGACATTCACCTTAAATAGAATTTTATTTGTAACAGAAATGCCTTATTATGATTTATGAGGACTTATGTGAAACTATCATATGAAAATTATTCTTATTTATGTGACCTAATAATAGCAAACTTCTAAGTGCATATTTTCTAAAAGATTAACATAGTAAACTTTTAATTGCATGTATGTGTATTCTAAAAGATTTATCTAAGTTTATAAAAATAGAATAAAAGCCTACAAAATATGCGTGTTTCCATTCTTGATGGTTGTGGTCGTGTAAATCAATACATAATTAAAATCCAAAAAATTATTAGAACATGCAAATATAAGTAACTAATTTAAGTTTGTTAGATATATGCATAAGTTCGGTATCTTGATGAGATTCGACGCATTAATCCTAACATGATTGCATTTAATCTGCTCCTTTGTTATCAGTTCACCAAAACTTTTACACGGCAAGAATTTACACCACCAAACATAAACTCAACCCAATAATTAATTACAACTTATATTGAATATATTTTGCTTCGATTTTGTAGGACTTCCTATTTAGTTCAATCAAAAAAGGTTTCGTAACCCAAAATTTTAGTTGATTTAAAAGTTCTATATATTAGGAAAATTTTTAAATTACTATTTTGTCTAGTGGGAACTCTATTTTTATTGTGTAAGGCGTACGATATTTCGCTAATGGCCTTCGTGCTTTTAATATAGTATAAATATAGATTAAACTTTAAACTTCTCATTTTATCTTTAATGAAATAATTTTTAGCACAACTTTCTATGGCTTGTTTTAACCACAATTCAAAAATCTTCATCTTTCTCTTAAAATTCGTGTTCAGTCAAATACCCCTCACACAAATTGAAACAGAGAGCACCATGTTTTGCTAATATATATGGCATGCAAAGTTCAAAATAAATGCTTCATGTTTGGTAGATGCAATATATGCAATCTGTTAAAAATCATTTGTAGAAAAGTATCTTAATCTGCTTCAAAGGGGTATACACGAATGATACTCAAGTATTTGAGGAAGTCTGTAATTCTGCAAACCAAATGGATGCATAATCAACTAGTAAAATGTACAGAGGCTTGCCACCCCTAGATCATTCTTTTGCTAAAGAACATTTCAATTAATCCGATGCCTCAATCCCAAATGTCTACTTTTCAGAGAACAATCCTAACACAATAAGATTATTGAGATGATAAGATAACTCCTTATGTATCGCTGCTATCTCGCTCCACACCTCTCTAAAAGATAGGGAAAAAAATTACAGCCACTATTGTAGCAATTTTTTCCAGATTCATGTGAATATTCAGTATGTTTACATTTACACAAAAATAAGGTGAAATACCTGTTGAAACGATTCATTTTTCCTCTTAAGCCCACAATTCGGGCAAACCCATCCCTAATGAATTAGCTTAAACTAAGAAGTGGGAATTATAGAGGTGGATAGAAATATGACGACAAGGAAAACCCAAGGAAAAGAAGGCCCCCAACCGTTGCTACTGTCCGCTGTGAGATCCTGGACGCAAGCATACTTCCACCCACCACTGCCACTGAAGTACATATGGTGTGTCCTATTACAGCCCCAACAGCAACTCCAATTGCATTTTTGTGTGTAGCTAGCTGCAAATTGAAAATGCATATAATCGGTGAAACACCGTCAAACTTCTATTAAAACCCTGAAATCTGTAAGCAGTTTATTGAGCCTTTTCACAGTATTATCGCACAACGTACTCAGCAAAGGAGATAGTCACATAAGGCTTAGCATGATTGAGACAAAAATAATAATGTTAATACTGATCTGGTTATTTGTTACAGGTATAGCTCCGCACGAGCTGTAACGTTCTCTTCTATTAAGATCAAGACTAAAGGAAGACATGAAAATTGATTCACTCTTCTTTTTCTTTTTCTTTTTTTATAAGAGCACTGTGGGATATAGTGTAGGGATTGTTAGATTTCAAGAACCTCTACTTTTAGAGAATCCTTAATTTGCCTTAAAAGACATATTATCTATTATTGGAACGTGACGAGTCTAAAACTAACCAACCAAAACTAGTTAGGATTTGGGGCATAGTTGATTTATCCAAGAATAGATATAAGAAGGTTGTAGAACTAGATTGATGGTGCCCAACCTTATGCACCAACTCATTTTAATGCATAGACACCATAACCAGCACCAAGTCACCGAAGAGATAATAGGTCAACCATCGCAGATAAACATTTCACAAAGCAAATGAAGAATAATTAGATAGTAAGAAAAGATCATACAAACGTGAGTCATTTAATAAGAAATATTAAAAAATCGTAGCATAACACATACACAGAAAACCTCCACAAAGAACATATATGTGCCAATCAGTATCTAGCATTTCAAAATCATTGAAAAATCAGAAAATACATTCATTTAACTTAGCAGTTATTTAAAAAAGATTATTAAGCACATCTTTTATTAGTGATTTAACATTTTGTGTACATTAACGTCTGGCAATACTAATAACTATCATAATTCATAGCACATGGAAATGTGTTGCAGAACTTACAAGTAGAATAAAACCAAGAAACTTTCTCTAAATTATTGAATGAGGAATTGCTCACCTATTTGGGAGTGGGACTGGGACTAATATAAATGCATTGAATATGATTGTCATTTCAGAATCCAGTAACCTCCCATGGTGGTTCAGTTGTAAAATGTTGTACTTGCAATATAATGCATCAAACTTTAGAGAAACAAATCTAGTAGATACAACCTACATTACATTGAAAAACTAGCTTACCCTATTGACGATTGAGCGCAATCAGGTGCCACTTAAGTGGGTATCCCATTCAACTGATGCCAGACCAGGATCACTATGTTCAGCTTTTGAATTTGAAAAGTTATAAACAAAACAGAGTGCCTAATTCTTTTCCTCATGGCATCAATCAAATACCCCAAGAAACACAAACACACAAATGCAAAAACAAGGAGGTGGAAGAAACACTTAGAAAGCCAAGACATTCGGAAGCACATGACAACCAACATAGCATCTGGCTTTATATGAGCCACAACAAAGAAAAGGAATTGAAAATATCTTACAGCAATTGTTGCTATCTGGCTACGGTCTCCCCACTCTGCTAGAAAGGTCAAGATAAAGGACTGCACAGACAACACAAGGGTAGGCATAAATTAGTTATTTTGCAGTTGTCATAAATTTGAGATTGTATCATTGTAATTAACTTAAGATATCATAACCTCATAATGCTATATTTGATATAACTCAAGGAGCAGCAAAATCAACATGAAAGGAACGTTCGGGTCATTTAAGTGGTAAGAGAGGAAGCAAAGTAAAAGTGGAGAAGATACATATTTTTCTTTGGAGAAGGAGCGGAGAAGATATATTAGCTGTTTCATTCTCCACTTTTTGGATGTAAGAGACTCTATTCACCCCAAAGTACCAATTAAGTCCTCCCCAACACTAGCTGTTTCTAGTGTATGGCTTGGTAAAGTTAGAATGAGAATGAGGGCAAGTTGAGGGGAAGTTTTAGGCAGAAGGAGAAGAGTTTACAGGAAACTTTGAGTGCATTTGAGAACTCTCTTCTGACCACTATTAAATCTGTCTAGATGAAAATTCTATAATTTCCCTATCCTGTCTTAGCAATTTTTTTACTTCCACATGCTCAAACCAGAAGATGGGATGAGAAAACAAGTATTAGTCACAATCAGCAAAAAGCATTCCTAGCAAGGGAAATCTGACAAATTTGATTTTCCTTTAATTTTTCCTACCACTTATGAAACATGGCCTTGAGGAAGGCTCCGTTCTTCGTGACTCTTTACAGCAACCATTGAAATTAATGTTGCCCTTTTTATTTCACTAATCATTCAAGTTACAGAATGAAAAAACAATATCATTCACCTGGAGAAAGGACACCCATCTCCACCTGACTTCCTTCTTGCATGAGGGTTTCACCCAATGGGTCAAATAAAAATATAACAGGCCAACCCTTTAAAAGCATCCAATAGCTCAAGTGTACAGACATACCTCCAAATATATAGGCGTACAAAATCTGGAAAAGAAACGTCTGACTGCTGCTTTCCCCTGTCCAGCTTCAAGTTTTTCTTCAACCTGACATTTTGAGAAGTAAATTGCATATGGTTATTTTGAGGAATGAATTTTTTTTGGTGATGGACTGACCCTGCCCTCTCCTAAGAGTTAGAGGCTCAGCCTCCGACTAAGCCTCCCCTTGTTCTTTTAACGGATCCAGGGTTCGGACCCTTAATTGCAAGGCAGGATCTTAACCGGACCTCTTTGTGCTGTGAAATCTAAAAAATAAAACAAAGATTTGACTAGCCTTTGAAAAGAGAAAATGAAACTTCATTGAGAAATCTCCACATTGTCAAATTAGAATCTCAAAATGAAGCTCAAGTTGAATTTTTGTGCACGTGCAAAGATAGTAACTACAATTTTCTTCCAATTCTTGCTAAGGTACACATACCTCCTCTATTTCCTTTTTCTGGGAAGCTTTTGAATCTGACGACCTCCATGCAATATAGAGAAGCCGAAGCCCAAAAAAGGCATAAAGAACTGCAATAAAATAAAAACAAAAACATCCTAATTATCTCATAGAACAAATTGCTAGTATAGGACTATAGGTAAAATAAAGTATAGAATGGAGAGTATCAGCCTCATCTTAAAAGAGATTAGGAAAATACGTAAGAGGATAGAGTCACAAACAAAAAGAAGAAAAGAGATAAGAAAACGAAATGGCATCACAAGAAGGAATAATGAACAATAGAGTAATATAGCATTCCAGGTAGAAATTATTATCTACTTTATGGTACATAGAAAAAGGACTAGTTCTAAACTAGTTCAATCAGCACAAAGGGCAAACATTTCAAGGTCCTCGACTTATGAGTCAAAACAGATCTTATTGATATCTAGACAACCAAGATTGAGGAACCTGAAGGGAAAAAAGGGTCAGTATGGTAAGTTTTTTTAAATAACAATAGAAGTTTAGAATGATGAAAGAACATTACAAATTTGATTAGACATTTTTGCAGCCGACAAGAATCACATCTTAGGTATGGGAATTATAGCACAACAGAAGCAAGTTATAAGATGTAAAATGAATAACCTGTAGCTGCACTGTTTGTATGCTTCCTTGATATCAAATTTGGCACAATTCTACCAAGTCCAGTAGACAGTATCTACTTACATGAAGAGAAAACATAACGTTAGAACTACCTCCAACAATATGACTTCCTAGTAGATGAATAAAGAAGAGTTCAATACAGTATAAAACATTCATATAAATGAACAGAACACTGTCAATGTAGGTGCTATGACTGAACATAGAAAAGGAAACAGAGAGAAAATGCTGCTTCCAAGAGCTAATACAGTTAAGAAGGAGATTCAATCACTTACTGTCATAACAAACAAGGCACTAAGTGCACCAGACAAAACAATTGACTTCGGGTGACGCATTGCCATCAGAGCTGCTATTATGAATGTCTCATCACCAATCTAGCAGCATAATCATCCATAAAATATTTATCAATGAATAAAGCAATATCTCGAGAAAGGTACTGCCAAAATGAATATTTCATTGCCAAACTGCATTTGGATTGAGAAACAAAAACATTCATTGAATATAACCAACCATCTAGTTCTCTCGGTTAAGCATGTTTGGTGAGTAACCGTATCATTGTCATTTTCTCTTTCTCATACAAACGACAATATTACATGGTGAAAGTAACACTCACAAGCAGCATTTAGTCTAAAAGTTCTTCCATGGTGGAAAGAGCTCCCCAAAATAAGCCGCAAAGCAATCGCAGTATCAACAAAAACACACACATCAAACAAGTTTAATAAAAGAACATAAAAGTTGAGCCACTAACCTCACTGACAAGGATCATGGAAAAACTAGCAAAGAAGGCATCAAAGATCCCAAGACCAGAATCCAAGTCCAGAGCAACATCAACAAAATCAGGATCATTGTCACCCCTAATAACACCAGTCTTAAGTTTTTCAACAATAATCTGCCCAGCAAAATAAATGTAAAACTCATTAAAATTAACAAACATATTGTGGTATCTCTAGAATATAGGTATCACTAGAATAGTACCACCAACATCTTAACAAGTCTTTAGTAACAACTAAATCGGCATAAAAGATATCCACAGGAAAAGGAGCCAGCACTTAATTATGGAACCATTTCCACCACCGTTCTTAGATTTTCTTGTTCAGCTTGGAGACCATAAATACCTTTCCTTCAAAGACAACCTTGTTTTCAAATATAATCACCATGAATGTATAAAGCAGAACAAACAACAACTTCATAACTTCAAACATTTTAGCTTTGGTTAAGGCCTTAACAATGTTGATAATGCCAGCAGACAATACATCCCAATTCCCAGAAAAGCAAGATATGAGCACTACTGCACTATACAATATACATATGTCATTTCATATTATTCTATGGCTGCTCATGTAGTGCATTTAAAACGTGAATCTGAGTACCTGGGTAAATCGCAGTGCATGTGCCTACCATGCAGCAAGATTTGTTCCAAAATCCTTTTCTTTTGTATATCGGGGATGACTTTATTTTTATTAAGCATTTACTTCTTTATCCTATTTAAAAGAATCAAGATTTTACGTACAGAGAGAGGGGGAGAGAGAGTAGTATTCAAGACCATGACACAGTGGTCCTTAAAAGCTAGATTTAGAGGAAAAGACCCAGACAAAGTATCTGACTTCTTAAAAACTCTTCATATAATCCTCTAACATGCTCATCGAGTTCTATGGAGGAAAACCTTTTTTTCTTCCTTTCACACTAATGCTGCAGAAGATGAGTTCATGATGATTACTGTAGCTGGGTTTCGAGCTCGGAGTCTCCAGATTCATACTTCTATTACTCAACCATTTAACTATTCCCTTGCATACAAGCACTATGATGAACTTATAACAAATTTAGCGAAGTTAACTACGTGATCCAGCCAAGGCACAACATTTCAACAAATAAATAGCATACAAAAAATCTAATTATGTACAAACATTATGCAAATTTTCCCAATCTCAGCAGCTAAAGAATAGTAGACTCACTTTACTACGCCTGCCCAGATCTTTGAACCGTCCACCTGACTCCACTCTTTCATTTTCATCCCCAGCTTCCTAAATTGATATAGTATAAGCAAACATTTAAAATAAAAACGTATACATAAAAAGTGAACAGAGTTTAGGCAATACCTGAGCAGAGATCAAAGGGGAAGTGATGAGAAGTAAAAGGACTAAGAATGTAAAATTAGGACGAAGAATCCATATATTTCTTGGGTTTGATTGCAAACCCATGATTGTTTTCGTATTCCGGTGATTGATTTTTAAGCCCAATTCTCGAGATTATACGGTGGAACAAACGAGAAAAGGATTTTCAGGGATCGAGAAAAGGGAATTGGGATTTACGCAGGAAGTGTTCGTAGTAGGACAAGAGGGAGTAGTTAGAGGAGATCTTGCGGGTACGCGTTGTGAGCTATGGGATTTGGTAGCATCATCTCCCCAAATACAGACCTCCCTCCCCAAATGTGGTCCTATTTATATTCTAATTTTGAAGAGGAGAAACGATATGAGTCCGGAACGGAAATGTGGTTTTTTTTTTACTCAAAATACTTTTTTTAGGCTAAAAAAAAAGTTACCATTTTATATAAAACGCAGCCATTATGAACTGCCTTCTATAGACCGCGCTTTACGTGGCAGCTAATAACACAAGTATATAAAGCGTGGTTTATTACCGTATTTTATATACATAAATAATAGGTCCCCTTCCCTTTCCTCACGTTCTGCCCAGATCCCTTTTCCGCTTCCTTCAAAAAATTATAGCGGTCCTCCCTCCATTAACGACTCAAAAAACTTGTGTGGACCCCACCCGTCCTGTAAAAAGTAGATATTGTTGGCCCCACATCCTAGTCAAGCCTTCTATTGTTGTGGGTTGCTTGTTTCAGAGTCAAATTTTCAAATCTTCAACTTTCCGAAAAACATAAATTGAGGTATTCCGATTTAGTTTATGTCTAAACTTGTATAAATAATGCATATTAGTTATTTTGAATGTGTTGTATGTTATTTTGTATTATTTTTTTGCGATTCAATTGGTATGTTATTTTTATCCGGATTAAGATATTAATGTTGTAAAAAAAATATGTAAAAATTGTGAAATCGTTATTATTTGTTAATAAAAATGTTAATAAATTACTGTTACTGTTTTATATGTATTTTTGTGATTACAATGTATTTGTTGTGTTTTATCTGGTTTAAATTATTTATTTGCTTAAAAACTAGTAATATAGTGTCTTTTAGGGTAGTAAAATGTAATGCCTTTTAGCGTAGTAAAATGTAGTGCCTTTTAGCGTAGTATAATGTAGTACCTTTTAGCGTAGTAAAATATAGTGCATTTTAGCGTAGTTTCCCTGCAGTTTAAGTATCTCTTATACTCAAAAATACGTAAAAGTAACTTATAGATCAAACACAAACTCTGTCCAATTATAGTCAACATATATTTGGTGCTACTGGGCCGCAAATATCGAGCCTCGAACCCATTTGTGAATATTTAATTATAAAAATTAATAATTTACAAACAGGCATATAAAATTATAAAACTAACATTTAAAATAATAAATCTAACAAATAGAAGAATTCAGGATAAATTGGTGATACTTGCTCCAAATATCGAGCCTGAAACCATTTGTGAATATTTAATTATAAAAATTATTTAATTTACTAACTAACATATAAAATTATAATAAAACTAACACATACAAGAATTCAGGATAAATTGGGGCTACTGGGCTCCAAATATGGAGCCTGGAACCCATATGTGAATATTTGTTTATAAAAAATAATTATTTAATTTACAAACAAACATGTAAAATAATAAAACTAACACATAGAAGAAATCAGGATAAATTGGCGCCACTGGGCTCCAAATATCGAGCCTGGAACCCATATGTGAATATTTATTTATAAAAATTTATTATTTGATTTACAAACTAACATATAATATTATAATAAAACTAACATATATAAGAATTTAGGATATGTATGGTAATGCTATTGGGCCTTAAATATCGAGCCTGGAACCCTTATGTGAATATTTAATTATAAAAATTAATTATTTAATTTACAAACTAACATATAAAATTATAATAAAACTAACACATAGAATAATTCAAGATATCTTGGTGCTACTGGGCCTCAACTATCGAGCGTGGAACCCTTATGTGAATACATCGTAATTAAATATTGTAAAATTATAAAAATTAATTATTTAATTTACAAACTAACATATAAAATTATAATAAAACTAACACATAGAATAATTCAAGATATCTTGGTGCTACTGGGCCTCAACTATCGAGCGTGGAACCCTTATGTGAATACATCGTAATTAAATATTGTAAAATTATAAAAATTAATTATTTAATTTACAAACAAATATATAAAATTATAAAACTAATATGTAATTAATGTTGTTTAATTTACAGTAGACGACATGGAGGTGCCGCCTATTCATCTCAGACCTTCCAGCGATGAGCTACTCTCGTGACAGGGCGATCATAGGTCCGCCCACATATGGGAGGGTAAGTTAGTGACCCAAACTCTCCGCGCCAGGATATTGGATGACATGTGGGACTTTCCGCATGACAGAGTTCTCCATGCCCGTGTAGTCATATGCCTGCAGGAGATGGGTTTCTACAAGATTTTAGAGATCGGGAGGTTGCAGCTCGATTGGTCTTTGGTCACGGCCCTGATAGAGCGGTGGAGACAGGACACACACACATTCCACCTGCCTATTGGTGAGGCCACCATCACACTGCAGGACTGCAGGTTTTATATGGGCTGCCCGTTGATAGACTGCTCGTTGGTTTGCCGCCTAGCATGAGAGAGATGACACGTGTGCAGTACCTGGACATGCTGCAGCGGCTCACTACTTTCCGGCCAGGGGATGAGAATGTACTGCTTAAGACCAGTCATTTTCCGTTGACAACTATTCGACAGTGATTGGAGGCATTGCATCGTGAGATCGATGGCGATACACCGAATTATCATGTTGACCGGTATACGAGGTTGCTGCTACTCTTTATGTTTGGAGGGGGCTTGTTCCCAACACTTCGGGGAACCTAGTCAACTTGAGATTACTTCATCATCTTGAGCGGCTAGATGATTTACACCAGTACAACTGGGGCTCTGTTGTTCTCGCCTACTTGTACAGGCATATGTGTCGGGCGAGCATGGGCACCTAGAGTGAGGTTGCTGGATTTTTGCCGCTACCACAAGTGACAACATATTCGAATACTCTATTTATTTTAACATACCTAGTAAAAATATATCTTATATTTTGCGTCAACTTCTTATGTTAGGTTTGGGCCTGGGAGCAGTTGCTGCAGTTGCAGCCACCTCTACCACCATTAGATCCGGATGTACCACCGGAGTTGCTCCCTCTAGCTAGGAGGTGGGTTCTCCGGTGGGGACATACGCGCGAGTACGAGGATCGGCATAATCTCTCCTTGTGCAGGGATATATTGGATTTGTTGTATGGCGCATAGGTAAATGTATATCCAAGTTTACTTGTCATTGCTTCATACACGTATACTAACATTTTCTGTTCTTCCTTAATAGTTCATCTGGACGCCATACAACGACGCGGTGTTAGCTGGCTTGCCCTGTTATTGCTCGGCCGGCCGTGATATGTGGGGCTCTTCTGTCCCGTTATTTTGCCTTAATATTGTGGAGCATCATGCCACCAAGCGAGTACTTTGCTAATTTAGCAGGCCACAACTCGTAGCGACACCGCCCACCTGGCAGACCACATATTACCATCGGGATGATCGTACCAGGGTGGACGACGCATATTTGGCATGGCTATAGGATCAGATATTTACTTAGGACCAGCAATTTCACCTGATTCTGCCCACCTTCACCGAGTCGGCAGGATACTGAGCATGATTATATGCCCTGGTACCGCGGTGTTACCCCACTTTTCGTCGGGAATCCCATTCATCGAGCTGGCAGTCGGTACGTTCCATACGCCGGGAGGCACGAGGCACTGGTATGTTATTTGGTATTCTTACTTATTGCTGTGGTCTAGTATTCTATGATTTATATTTTACATGTTGTGCAGGATATTGGCCTACATTTAGTCCACCAGTTAGGACTGCAAATGCAGCAGCATGCGGGCGATCCTGCGGTCGCTTTGCAGGAGTATGGTCGGCAGGTTACAGAGCTGGCTGCCCGGACACTGCATCGATCCATAGAGGACGAGCACTTAGAGCACCTCCCTGTTTATGTGGTGCTAGAGCACTACCATCGAGGTAGGCCTGTCCTACGAGCTAGGGGAGCACGAGGAAGGGCTGTCCCACGAGGCAGGGGTGCCCCACGAGGCAGGGTTGTCCCACGGGGTCGTGGGGGCCGGCGAGGAGGTAGTCCCTAGAAAGTGGGCGTTGAGGCACCTGTTGAGGATGTTGGATATGATCTACTGGGCGACCTCTATTAGTCAGACAAGCATCACAGCAACATGCCGTCATACAGCCTTCAGTTGGCACTAACTTCACAGCATTGCAGGTGACCCCGTTAGATTCATTGTTGATTACGGGCACGAGCATTACTGGAGATTGGGAGTAGTTCTTTTCAGGCCCATAGACTGATGCTGAGGATCGGCCGACCCGAGACGTGGATGGTGGGCGCCGACTGAGTTATGGCTCATCGTTGACGGGTGTTGTGGATCTTTCACAGGCGCATGCATGTTTATATTACTATTAAATTTAAATTTATTTTTATCTCATTGATTCGCCAAAAATAACTTTATAATTTTTTTATTAAGGCTTCATCACAGCCCGTCATGTAGGCCACTTTGTGCGATGCTGAGTAGGATGCGACGAATGCTTATATTCAAGAGCCCGACGAGACCATGGTAATAAATGTTTTTTGACTTAACACGTACATTACTAATATATATTTTCATATACTGAGCTGACTTATTCTTTTGTATGTTGTTGATGGACCGACGGCCCCTTCTACCGATCTTTCCAGCACTACTGACGATCATGTTGCAGTGCATCCTCCGATAAAGAGGCGACGGATGATCCTGATAGCGTATCTGAGCAGGATGGGATGCGCCTTAGGCCAGCGGCTGCATTAAAGCACACAGACTGTAGGACACATTGATTTTCTTTTTTTTGTATTTTATGTACTCTAGTAAATATTATTTTATGTAAATAATAACAATAATTTTTTATGTTTACATAATATGCGTATTATGTTTTTATTTCCCCGTTTCTTCTTTGTTTTAACACTACAGCACAAACACAAACATAGAAACTTAATATAATTTAAATGCAGTACAACTAATGAAAACACATGATACGGAAAAGATAAAGATAAAGTACTACACTCAACATATACATGTCATTGTTTAGTCACCCTACCTAGTATTCTCTGCTCCAACCACTTAAATTTCTCTTCCAACTTATTTTTTTTCTTCTTCCACCTCTTTGAGTTTTTGCTTCAACTCCGCAATTTCTCGTTCATATTCC